TCCCTTCTCATGTTTTTCTCCCCACCACCTGCCACGTCTTCAACAGGCTGCCACTCTCTCCCCGCAGCACACATACATCACCTAGTTCACTGGCACCACATCTACTATCTCAGGAATCCCTCCTACGACTCCTGAAAGTTTCAATTTATATGGGCTACAGCTATCAATATTTAACCTTTTAGAATCTAAAACAAAGCATTTGCTGAATAGAATACCTAAGTACACAATGCATAAACAATTAGTTTTGAGGTCATCTGTCATAGGACCTTGGGAAAATTTCACTGTGAATTCATGAGAAAATCAAAGTTAAAAGGCCAAACAATGCTTAAGCACTGTTACAAAAAAAAAAAAGAAAAAAAAAAAAGTTTAACCTGGACACCTTTAAAGAGGCTCCCCAGAGTCCTCGGGAATCCCCAGGTACATTAGGAGATGGGCTTGGGTTTAAGCCTTCAGAATTCCTACACTAAAACCTCCCAGGTCTTCTTCACTACCCTGACCTGTTTGTTTCCTAAACGCTGGAAAACTTCTACTGCCTAATATAATATCTCCGTCTATTTATGCCAAATTATTCAACTCTTTGCATTAAATGTGTTCTTATTACTGTCACCCATCTGAAATCAAAGGAACTAAAGCTAGATAGTCCTTTTTAATGCAAATTCAAGTCATTAATATTCATTGATTCAATTTTTTAAGTTTTATTTGTTTTTATTGTAAAGACTGATTTACAGAGAAGGAGAGACAGAAAGATCCTTCATCCGCTGGTTTACTTCCCAACTGGCCCCAAGGGCTGGAGCTGAACCAATCCAAAGCCAGGAGCCAGGAGCTTCTTCTAGGTTTCACAAGTGAGTGTAGGGTCCCAAGGCCTTGGGCCATCCTCTACTGTTTTCCCAAGTCACAAGCAGGGAAGTTGGATGGGGGGTCAGGCCACTGGGATTAGGACCAGCACCCATATGGAATCCGGGCAAATGCAAGAACTCAATCATTTGTTTTTATTGAGCCCAATGTGATAGCCTACTGGCTAAAGTCCTCGCCTTGAACACACTGGAATTCCCCATATGGGCGCCGGTTCTAATCCCAGAAGCCTCGTTTCCCATCTAGCTCCCTGCTGTGGCCTGGGAAAAGCAGTTGAGGACGGCCCAGTGCCTTGGGACCCTGCACCCGCATGGGAGACCCTGAAAAAGCTCATGGCTCCTGCGTTCGGATTGGCTCAGTTCCAGATGTTGCAGCCACTTGGGGAGTGAATCAGCAAATAAAAGATCTTCCTCTCTGTATATCTGACTTTCCAATTTAAAAAAATTTTGTTTTTATTACATCTATTTGAAAGAGTCAGGGTAGCTGGCATGGTGATAGAACAGGTAAAATCTTCCACCTGCAGCCCTGGTATCCTATATGGTTCTAATTCAAGTCCAACTGTTCCATTTCTAATCCAGACCCCTGCTAATGGCTTGGAAAAACACCAGAGAATGACCCAAGGATTTGGAACCCTGTACCACATATGAAACTCAGAAGAAGCTCCTGGCTTCAGACTGAAAATGGCCCAATTTGGGCTATTGCAGCCACTTGGGGAGTGATTCAGCAGATGAAGATCTCTCTTCCTCTCTCATGACCTTCTCTCCCTCTCTCTGCAACTGACTTGCAAGTAAAAATAATTTTTAAAAATATACATTTTTATTTGGAAGGGAGAGTTAAAGAGAGGAGTAAGAGAAGGATATTCCATCCACTGGCCATCCTCTGCTAGTTTCCCAGGTCATAAGCAGAGGTAGAACCCCTTTTATTTCATGTTGTCTGACCATATTCCAAACCAAGCCATCTTCCTTTGAGCAACCACATCCCTCCAAGCCTTTCCACTATATTTTAAAAACAGGAAGCTGTTACAACTCATTTCCTGTCTCCCATCACTTGAACATTTGCCCATCACTCAATCCCTTTACCCAGTGTGTGAATGGGTAGAATCACCTAGGTTGCTGGCTTTGAAGGTGCTGGACACCTGGAGTCACTGCCATGCTTCTATACAAAAGCAAAGCCCACCTTCAAGTCCTCCTGCCTGTCTTCTCAGATTTGGTCCTTACCCTGCACGATGAATTCATACCCTTTCTGAATAATTCAACTACTGCCTCTTATTTTAAAGCAAGAACTCTTTGCCTCCCAGCCCGTGCAAGCAAATGAAACAGAGTTCCTGCTGTTTGTTCTCACAATAATTTGTGCTTTAGTTTTGTCTGTAACACAGCCATAGTTTGTAAAGCAGTTTGACTAAACATTTGTCTGTCCTAGACACTGAGCTTATCTGAAGGCAAGAACTGCATCTTACTCGCTTTATATTCATGCACTATGTTTCAGTAAATGCTTGCTGAAAATACAAAGATTTTCTGAAGCCTGGGTATATAAAATGAAGCAAAAGCAATACCATCCCACCAGCCAGGAGTTTTTCTTAACAAGAGGAAAAAAACTTTTTCCTTGTGTAATTCTACATTAGAAATACAAGTTAAATTCTTAAAGTAATTCACATACAAACTGGAAAAAACGAGTTTCAGCTGGCATCACTGCAGTCATTCTAACAGTAACTAATGTGTGCCTCAGTTTTCACAGTGAAAACAACAGAAGAGAACAGGAGGCTTCCAGATATCTGAAGAGTACAGTGGAGGATAGAAAACAGCAAAGAGCAGTACTGTGTACAAGCCCACCACACAGCCCAAGGACTCTACAGATAATATCTGAATGGTGAGCCAGAATACATTAAATTATGGAAAAGCTACAAGAATTGAGGTGAGCTAAAAAGATGAGCAGTAGAAGACGGTTATTCTAAAAATAAACCTTCTAGCACCATCTGCCCACAAAAACTATCATTTTAAAAAAGGTAATGCTTTAGAGTTACAAAAATAAATGACATCAGAATACAAGGGAAAACGCTACATTAACTTTACTAGTAGGCATACTGATGGGAAAAGCAATACTTCCATTTGGCACCAATTCACACTCAACAATTGTGCTTAATAATCTATGATGATTACTATTTTGATATGCATTAAATTTCACCCCAAGGAAATTAAGGTACCTACTATAGGGATAAAATTTGGGTATTATTTTCTACATAAGAAATATCTTAAATGTCTTAAAGACAAATATTCTTTTACAAAAAGGTTTCTGTAACTTTTAAGGAAAAATATAATCTATAGTCATTTCCAAAATACTGTACAACCATGCCTAATAATTTCAGAAATCTTAGATCAATAGGCTTTATAATAATTTCAAAAATCTCAGATATAGAATACAGAATAGCAAAACCCGGAAGTTTTTTCCAACATTTTCTCTCACTGTCCAAAAGGGCAACTCATCTGAACAAAAGAAACCTACAACAGCAGCCCAATCAATTATCTTTCACTACAAATGCCACTATGGTCTTGCATTTGTGGAACACCAACGCACTAACTAAAAATATATCTAAAAGTGATTCTTAAAATTTTCTTAAACATAGGTGGGATTTTCTTACTTACTGTTTCCTCTGAAAGAACCCAAACACTAACTCTATAGCCCACTGGGAATATGGATATCTATAAAGAATACAGGAAGATTTGACCACTGCATATGACATTTTATTCTTCTGTTTTCAGTAGAAAAAAAAAAAACTGTCAAAAATACCATATAATGTAAGCAGAAAGGAGAAGTACCTGTAATTAGCTTATTTCCTGCATAATGTTTATACCTTTAAGTAGCCTACAGAAGAGGTGGCATGTAATGTCACTGAAAATGCTTAATTTTGTAAAAATGTCAAGAAATGTTCCAAAGTCCAAAAAATTTAAAGTGAAACATTCTTGAGAGTAGTTTTTGAAAACATCCATGAGTAAAAATAGCTTTACAGTTTTTAAGCACTCAGTATAAGTGTGTTAATTTGAGGGAGGGAAAAAAAAACACTAAACTGATAATCTGGCACTACCAGGGCTACTAGCGCTTAGCTTACCTCAAGGGAACCTAGTGCAGATAAAGTCCCGTCACTTGCACAGTTCTTTCAGCTGCCTGCCAGTTGTCTCTGTGGAAGGGAAAGCCTGGTGAGAGAGAACCCTAGGCCACACTCCTTTGGAGTGTCAGGGAGCCTGCAGAGAACTGCACAAAACTGTCCACCTAGGTTCCTAGAAATCGCTTATTAATACAGGGCCAAAAAAGATGCCACATTTTAACTTCCCTTTTTAATGAACATGGAAACCAAATGCCTAACGATTACTGAGTGCTAACAACCTAGTAGTATTACAAAGGTGGTTAAATCACCATCCCAGGTAACAGAGGACTCAAATGCAGCAAGTGAGGAAATCACACACACACACACACACACACACACACAATCACATAATCTGAGCACAGAAAATACTATTTTCACAGAAAGTAAAGTTAGAGCACCAAACAAATGCTAATACCCAAATAATACCAATTTAAGAGATGACCTTAAATATTTATCATATTCAAAATGAACTATACTATGGATCCAAACACCTACTTATAAATTTCATCTACTGTCTTGGAGAGTCAGAAGGGAGAGAACTCTACAAATTTTTCTTTTATTTTTCTTTCTTTTTTAAAAAATATATCTAAAGTGAAAAATCAGCAGTGGAACTCCATAAGAAATACTTATCTGGATCTCAAAACATGCAGATCCTTGATCAGAATAAAAGTTAAGAGGGAAATATATAATAAGAAATAACAGACAACAATGAAATCCAATATATTTCAAAACCACTTCACTTTTATCACATGAACAGCTGATAAATATATTTCATTGAGAACATCTATGTATCACCAGAACACAAGCTCAGCAATATAACCGAAGAGGATATACTTTCAATGAAAAGCCTGCTTCCAGACTGAATGTTGTGCTTCACAAGGCAGGACAAAACACTCCTACCAAAAACTCACCAAAAGCAATCCTTTAGCACAGGTATTGATGAAGAAAAACTTATTTAACTCAGATGGTGACTTCAATTTTTTAGCAACATTAAAATGAAATTACTTACCTCTGATTCTTTGTCACTTAAAGATCCCAAGCTTCCAAAACTGTGATTAGAACTTTCATTATTTGTTGAGGCCTGTTAAAAATTTTTTAAAAAGTAAAAATTAGGAGTAATTTTAAATGAACATATTACAAAGTATATATCATCGTTACAAAGGGAAACCAAGCATGATTACTTCTAGCAAGGAAACCAACTAAAGTAATAGTAATACCAAGTTCTTAAGGACAAAGTATCTTGAGATAACAAAGTTCTATTGTATCTCAGAAATGGACTTTTATTCACTGACTTTTTAAAGAACATTAATTTCCGAGATCAAAAGAAGGGAACTGTGGCAGTGTTAGAATACCTAGAACCCTAATACTACTAGCCAGTGTAAAAACTTAAGCTTCTCTTGCCTCCATGTAGTATTTCTACTTTTTAGTTTTCCTTCACATTGATCAAAATCCAATCACATCTCATACATACTCCTTTTCCTTTGTTTCCTATTAATATCCTGTCCTCGTTTGTTGTTGTTGCAGTTTGACTAAATATTTTGCTCAAGAGTCTCTTTATTTTGACACTATTTCTCAACTATGACAGACAAAAATGAGTTATCACTCAGCAGGATGATGTCTCCCTCAGTTGCAACACGTTTTAAGGAGCTTATTAGATCAACGTCTTCTAGGAATGCTGAAACCAGAGGCTGACAGGCTATGGCATGTATACCAAAGATGATGCATGAACTGACTGTGTGTGCACGTAGGCCAGTTCATTTCATGTTTCCTTTCCATGTGTAAGAGCAGCTGCTAATCCTATTATTAAGAGCTTACAAGCTGGTCTACAATTACCCTTAGACAAATTTCAAAAGTGACAACTATGAGCTACTCCTTGTATGTCTAGTACTATACTGGATATTGTAAAGGCTGTCTTCAATACATACTAGCCCATGGAACCAATTAAAATTCAAACAGTACTTAATCACTTCTCGGCCTTTTGGCTAAAATCAAGCGTAAAATTCAAACAGTACTTAGAGAAACATATAATCTAATCAGGGGAGACAGTGGCAGAAGTTTGAGCACTCATAAATTCCCATGGGGGAGAAAACTGTGCAGAACAATATAGCAGGGCCAGGTGCAATAGCATAGCAGTTAAGGTCCTCGTCTTGAATGCACCGGGATCCCATATGGGTGCCTGTTGTTAATCCCGGCGGCTCCACTTCCCATCCAGCTCCCTGCCCGTGGGCTGGGAACGTAGTCGAGGACGGCCCAAAGCCTTGGGACCCTGCACCTGTGTGGAGACCTGGAGGAGACTCCTGGCTTCAGACTGGCGCAGCACCGGATATTATGGTCACTTAGGGAATGAACCATCACACAGAAGATCATCCTCTAGTCTCTCCTCCTCTCTGTATATCTGCCTTTCCAATAAAAATAAATAAATCTTTAAAAAAAAAAAAACCTAAATGGCAAACAAAAAAGCAGACAATATTTACAATAAACTAGATGACAAGAATTTCCATGACTCCTTTCCAAATCACAGGTGAAAACAAATCATCCAACAACCATCAAGCCCTGCACAGGCAGCCCTATCTTGCGGGGAGAAAGCAGAAACAGGATGTCTGACGCAACTCACCTGGGAGATCCCCAAACCAGCAAAGTATTCGCCCAACTCAGTGGGTCTATCTGAGCACAGGACGAGCAGGGACTAAGTGCTAACAGCCTGAGGAGAATGAGAAGCCAGACAAGATGAACCTTCACCAACTCCGGAAACAGCTCTAGGTAAGAGACAGGCACAGTGCCTGACAATTACCACGTGTGGATGAAAAATGACAAAAGGTACAGTAAAGACAGAGAAAAATATCCAGGAAAAAAATGGGGTAGGGAGCAGAGAACCTAGAATTCTCAGCAAATGCCACAGTTTGAGCAGTGTCCAAAAACGAGAGGCAAAAACCATCCTGAACCACTCAAGGTCCAGTAAACCCAATTTCACGTACAAGTAAGCAACAGAAAATGATGTAGGTCGATGCCATAAAAGTCACTGTAAGAAAAAGGTACAGAGTACCATCCTGATAATAAAAGCCTACCAGGAACATACATTCACAAAATGGATGGAAATTGTCAGCTACTATTTCAAAATCAGCTAAAAGACATTACAAAAATTACTCAAGACATGAAAGAACAACATAAATTGGATTTCAAAAAACTCCGAAATAAGGTAATAGAATTCCAGAAATACAAAGCTTCAGAAACCAAGAACCTGAATCAGCCCAAGAGCAAATACATACAGCAGCTAATGCTTCAAGAGAACCAGCAAAAGGAACATTTTTGAAATTAAAAGAAATAAGATAAAAAGGATTTCAAAGAAAGCAACCAATAGGCACAAACATTCAATACCCGGATGGCACAAGCCCTCTAAGAGAATTAAAACAAGAAAACAGCACAAGCTGCCATATAAAAAAAAAGCCTGGAAAAAATTTAATTTGAAACTACTGACGAACTGTATAATACACAACTAAGAAAACCAACCCAGAAGGCTGACATCAATTTTTTCAAAGGCAACACTTTATGTCTGAAGAAAATGGAGGAAGTTAAGATACTCTACGACAGAAACCATACACAAACTTTATATTCAGTTAAACTAACTTAACACAAATACTCTTAACAGTGCCTCTACAAGCTCTTCAAATCTGCAGAACAAGTTTCAGAAAACCCAAATGAATAGCCTCAGCAGTCTAAAAACAAAAAGTAAGCAGCATTATTTAATAAAATAGTTTAATTAGTTTAAATAATTTAATTAAATATTTAATTAGTTAAGAATATGCTAATTTTAGGAACTGTTTTATTTCCTGGAGAGGTGCAATTGCTCAGTATAGATGAAGGAATATTCAGGAGTAAATACAAACCTTATGGTACTGAACTGACTGGAAGCATCAATATAAATTCATGAGACATTTTAAAACAAAATTTATGCTTGCATGTATGTGTATTTCACTATAAATAACAAAATGCCTCTGAACAGATCAACATTTCCACAAAGAACTATAAATCCTGGGGGAAAAAAGTTACAGCTCAGAGTTTCAGATTAACACAACAGCTAGAAAGCAAAGAAATCTACAGCCCAAAGGGGTTGCTCACTGACCTACTCCGGAGTAGACGCTGAGTAACTAAATGGAGAAGTCAGCTGCAGCTCTGTCAGAGACATAGTTGAGATTTCAGCCCAGACAACTTAGTTGTCAGCAAATATAAAAACACGCAGTCAATCAATCAAACGAGCGATCAATCAATCAGTGCTCTCCAGGAGCAGTGGTTTGGCCTGTTAGCCCACAACACCAACGGGAAAAGTTAACTGCTAACTCGGGCTCCTCATTCCGGCTTTCTGCGGGTACAGACCAGCAGTGATGGTGCATATCGTGGGTTCCCGGCACTCACATGAGGAACCGGACTGGGTTCTCCGTTATCAACTGGGCCAGTGGACTGGAAAATACTCTTTGTTTCTCTCTGCCTCTCAAAAAAAGCAACACTCCCCCAAAACAACACACCAACTCCTACAGTCATTTTAACATCCATTCACAGGATTCAAGACAGAACCCAGAATCCCTTAATATAAACAATCCAGACAATATGATCCACAGGCAGGAGAAAAAGACAGTCAACAGAAACCAACCACAAACCTGCACAAATGCTAGTACTAGCAGATAACACAAATCTTAAAGCAGCTATTCTAAGAATGGTCAAAGTGAGAAAACATGCTTGCAATGAATGAACTAGAAACATCTGCAAGAAAAACTGTGAAGGCCCGGCACAGTAGCCTAGCAGCTAATGTCCTCGACTTGCACACGCCAGGATCTGATACGGGCACTGGTTCTAATCCTGGCGGCCCCATTTTCCACCCAGCTCCCTGCCTGTGGCCTGGGAAAGCAGTCGAAGACAGCCCAAAGCATTGGGAGCCTGCACCCACATGGGACACCTGGAAGAGGCTCTGGGATCCTGGCTTCGGATCAGCTCAGTTCTGGCCATAGCAGCTACTTGGGAAGTGAATCATTGGACAGAAGATCTTCCTGTCTCTCCTCCTCTGTATATATTTTTCCAATAAAAAAAAGAATAAATCTTTTTACAAAATCTATGAAAAGAGGTATAAATTCTAGAAATTGAATTATCATTTCTAAAATTTATTTAAAAGTAACTGGGTTTAAGAGCAAAAGGAAAAATTAAGGACTAAAGATAGAACAAATTAAAGAGCAGAGAGTAAAATACTGGAAAATAACATTTGTTGGCCACAATTAAGCAGTGCAACATACATCTGCATGAAACCACACAGAGGGAAAGGAAAGGAAAGGAAAATCTCAAAATACGGATAAGGGCACAGGGTGACACACTAAAGGAGGCTCAACGATTCCCCCAGGCAGGGGAAGTACAAAGACAACTACACCTAGTCACAGAATGACCAAACTGCCAGACCAAAGATTAAAAAAAATGTGGAAAGCACACATGATGACAAAAAAAAAAAAAAAAAGATGTAACTGACCATGCATTAGTCATCATAAAATATTCTGTGTGAAAATGATGAGCCAGAAAAATCTAAGGCTGAGGAACAGTTAAAACAATGGTGTCTCATCCACTTTCCCATATTCCTTGACCCTTCCACAGGCAGTCTACATGGGCAAGCATCTTTCTCAACTATGTAAAAATCGTCAAAACTAAAAACAGGAGAATTAAAGATTAAGTGCAAATCTATACATTAGGTGGGAGACACTAAGTCTCCTCCCCAGGTTCAATCCCATCAAGTTAGCACTGCATGTATGATGCTGCGGTGCGAGATTATAAAATCTCTCTGTGAGGAAAACAACATCTTGGAAAACAACTTACAAATACCAGGAATCAGGCCAGGCGCAGTAGCCTAGCGGCTCAAGTCCTCGCCTTGCAAGTGCTGGGATCTCAAATGGACTCCAGTTCTAATCCCAGCGCCTCTGCTTCCCATTGAACTCACTGCTAATGGCCTGGGAAAGCAGTTAAGGACTGCCCAAAGTCTTGGGCCCCTGCACCTGAGTGGGAGACCTGACTCCTGGCTTCAGATCGGCTCAGATCCAGCCATTGCTTCCA